TCAAGCCTAGATTCATCCATATGTTTGTGAATGTCTTACATCAAAAACCAAAGAAACCATCTGCATTTAACTTCACTTTCTCTGCCCTGCTCCTTTGACTTCTGGTAAACCTTATATTCCTTATTTCTTGGAAAATACCATAAATGGGAAATCTCCCCGGGAAGACCTTCTGGCTTTAGGATTTGCTCAAACGCATAAGGCAGCCTTACCTGTTTTTTTCAGCAGTCACTCTGTGGCTGTGAAAACCAATTTGTTGGAGTACCAGTGCTTTATTCTCTGTGCCTCTCTATGTACAATAAAAATGTTGTGCAAGAAGAAATGGGCAAGTGCAATTTCCTTCAGGTTCTAGGGGCAGACCATATGCTCATGTTACAAAGTTGAAAGGGATCTGATCTCCTGCTCTTTCTCATCTAGTCCCCCTTTGTTGTTGTTAGTTGCGAAGTCGTGTCCGACCCATTGCGACCCCATGGACAACATTCCTCCAGGCCTTCCTGTCCTCTACCATCTTCTGGAGTCCATTTAAGCTCACGCCTACTGCTTCAATGACTCCATCCAGCCACCTCATTCTCTGTCGTCCCCTTCTTCTATTTTACTCAATCTTTCCCAGCATTAGGCTCTTCTCCAGTGAGTCCTTCCTTCTCATTCGGTGGCCAAAGTACTTGAGTTTCAACTTCAGGTTCTGGCCTTCTAAAGAGCAGTCATGGTTGATCTCTTCTAGGACTGACTGGTTTGATCACCTTGCAGTCCAGTCCCCCTTACCTTCAGCAATATCCTGGACCTGCCGAGTATGTTTCCTCCGTGCTTATCTGTAGCTGACTTCTGAAAGCCTCAGGATTCTCCAAATCTGTGGCTATACCTGAGTTGTACATGAGGGCTACAAATGGATCCAGATTTGAAGATTTGTTTTTTTCATATCAATGAGGATAAGTGGGAGAGACGAGCTTAGATACAGGCGGGACTGATAAATGTAGCAACAGATGAATTCCTTTAGTTGCTTGGTGGCTCAGAGCACATCCAGAAAATTGGATGAACGTGGAGGAAATATTCTCAAAAAGAGAATAAAGTCTGTTCTACTCCTGCATTTTATATTTTTCTGATTCTTAAGACTGTATCAAAAAACAAAGTCGGCTTAATAAGAGAAGCTTTGCCTTACGTGGTTCTTGGAGATTGCATGTTCCAAAGTCAGGACTGATGCTGAGCCCCTTTTTGCCACGAAGAATCACTTTTCTCCCCTTGAGAAATGTTCTCTAAACGTTCTGAGGTTCCTAGAAGCCCAAAGCTGATACTAGGATTTTCAGTATGAGTTTGATAGTTTCCTGTTACACTAGCCAAGCTTGGCCAGAATAATGGAGCAACAAAGCAACTGTTTTTGTTTTGAGCTTCACTTTGTTATGGCCAAGTGCTTTTTATTTATTTTTTTCTATTTTTGTGTAGCCTACTGAGATGTTGGTTTTGTTTCAAGGTTTTCCCGCTTTTGGTAAAAGCCTTTCTACTTTTGTTATTTTCTTATGAAAACCAGACAGAAGAAAGCATTCACTAATACACTACATCCCCTTTCAGACAAAAATGAAACAAAGCACAAAAACAACCTTGAGACGGGTCTTAAAACTCCCAAATCCCTGTAGGGCATTTGGAGTCTTCTGATTTTAGCTTTCTCTGTTGTCTTTTGGGGCTCATATAACACATGGATTTCTTCAGTTGCTGAGGGCAGTGGATGGAGAGAGGAAACTGCAGGCTATGTGAAGTTTCTAATGTTTTATCTGTTGCCTTATAGCTCCTTGAAAGTCAGAAACAAAAACAAACAAACAAAAAACCTGCCTCCCTTACCCTACCTCAGTCAAAAAGGAAATGTAGTAGAGAAAGACCTATTACATTTAATACTTTTAATAAACTAGATCAAAAGGCAACAGATATATTAAACCAAAAGCAAATGCGTTTATGCAGTTGTCCCCAACCCCTGGTCCATGGCCCGTTGGGAACCAGGCTGCACAAGCGGCGGGCAAGAGCAACAAAGCTCCATTTGCACATGCATGGGATTAGGTTGCGCGCACAAAACCATCCCCTTTCCCCGCCACCGCCTATTGCTGCCGCCACCACTGCTGCCAGTCTGTGGAGCCAGAAAGGTTGGGGACTGCTGCTCTTCTGGAGAACCTTTTGGGTGTAGTGGTTAAGGCAGGGGTGTCAAACTGCCGGGCCGTGGGCCGGATGCATCACGCGGAAGCCGCGCCCACCCCATTGCCGGCAATGGCAAAACTGTCCTGATACGTTGTGTGACATCACGTGACGTCGCAAGTTTGACATGTCTGGGTTAAGGCATCAAACCAGATGCGGGAGACCATGAGTTCTAGTCCTGCCTTAAACACAAAATCAGCTGGGTAATCTTGGGCCAGTCCTTCTTGCTCAGCCCTAGGGAGCAGGAAATGTTAAACTTCTTCCAAAAACCTTGCCAAAAAACTTCAGGGACTTGTCCAAGCAGTCATCCAGAGTCAAAAACTGACTCAAAGGAGCAAAAATAATAACGCTCTTATGATCCTCCTTTTCCCTATATTTGGGGTCTGGACCATCATAACCTGGGATGAAACAAAACTGGGTTTAGGATTTTTTTTAGGTACAGGACCCTTGAGTTTTCCTGTTTGCTGTGTCTCCCTTTCTTTTTCACTTGTTTTGTGTGTTGTGATTTCCTCACTTCTAGACTTTCTCAGAGTTCTCAGATGAAGCATTTGGTCCAATATAAAAGCAAAGAGGTCCTTAAGGTCCAACAGCCAAATCGTGTATTTCCACTATAGGGCTCAGTTGAAAGCAAATTGGCTACATTCAGAAAAATACATTCCTTCCTAACCCATCATCCCTAGCATGTGTCTCTTTCCCCCACTGCCCCCCCCAATAAGCTGAAAACTCTGGTTAAAGGTCACATAATAACCAGCAAACCACAGGTAAATCTCCTTTTTTATTTTCTTAATATCACCATCATCCATCTTACATTGGCTTGGGCCCCACACCCTTTTCTGAAACCCTTGTATTATTTGGCACTTCTCAATCTAGTGATGACTGTACTTTTCTTTGTATCATCTATATAGCAGAACTTTGCTTGGGTAAGAAATTAGTGCAATGGCCCAGTAATTTGCATAATTCTCTTGCTTGTCTTGTTTTATGTTCGATGTAAGAATCATTTTTTTCCCAGTCTCTAGGCTACACAGTCTTGTTCCTTGTTTATTGACAGACAGCTGTTAACATCTTAACTGGCTCATCTCCTGCAGCTTTAAACATAGGTATGCAGATATAATTATGCAAAGTCAGCATACAACATCCATTTTCAACATTCAGAGGAAGCGGTTCCCAGAGTAAAAAAAAACATTCCTGGCAGCTATAAAGTAAAATATACTATGTGAAACGTATTGACATAAATGGATTCCGTAGAGCTGGATGTTATTTTAGAACATTTGTTTGAAAAAGTTAATGTTCAAGTTAGAAAGCAAAGCCTTAGATTAGTCTCATTTTATTGGTCCAGCTATAAATAATCACCTCTATAAATTCCATTTGGGCAACTGTTACAGGAGATGAACATTGTTTTAAGATAATCCTGGTGGACCAATAGAATCTTAGAGAATCTTTTATGAGAACAGCAAGCCTGTGGTTTATGGGAAATGGAAAGACAAACATTCTGCCTTCAGTTCCTTTCTTTATTTGTATATATGTTTACTGAGTGCTGATCTGCTAAGGAGCTGATCATTATGTCACAGTATTAAGTCCTTTGGAAGGTAAAGCGAACCAGCGACAAATGCATGCGAAAATGTTGCAATTAGAATGTTGTAGAACTCAAACACCAACAAAATTGTATTTGATGGCTTGGAAAGCACGGAAGAAGAGTATATACAGTATGAAGCACGTTTGGACTGGCATATTCATTTTTTGCCATGTTGGTTTTCACAAACAGTGGATAGACAATATGTAAATTGGTATGATCTCTAGTATGATAGACTTATCTATACTCAAATGGAAGTATGACTTGTTAGATAATATTTTCCAAAAGTCAACTTTGAGACTTTAAGTTCTAAATATTTCTGGAAGGGAGCATCAGTAATTACCAAGCAACCATAGCCATATGACAATAGACTTTTGACTTGTGGTTCCCTTATTTCCTCTCAGCTGTCTCCACAATCCATTTTGGTCTATGGTCAACACATATATCAGCCATTTCTCTAAAATTCATATAACTCATGTTGCCAGGAAAGTATTCTCAGTATATCACTCTATAGTTCTCAGAAAAATACTTATCCCTTATTTTTTCTCTTGTTTCTACTTTTGTAGAAAAGCAATAGATCAGTGATGGCAAACCTTTTAGAGACCGAGTGCCCAAACTGCAACCCCAAATCCACTTATGTATTGTCGGGTGCCGGGTGGGCGTGACCCATTGTGTGGGTGTGACCAGTTGGGTGGGCATGGCTGCGGTGGTAACAGCAGACTGGGTGGGACTAAAAAGTTCAATCAATCAATTCCAACTTTGCGAGAACTTTTTTTTTCCCACAAGAAGTTGAAATTGATTGATTGAACCTTTTTTTTTTTTTTTGCACATGGTAGCGGAGGCCTAAAGCGAAAAGGTTTTATAAAACTCAGCTGAAGGTCTAGGACTGGGGCGACGGCGCGCATGCTCACAGAGAGGGTTCTGTGTGCCGCCTGTAGCACCCGTGCCATAGGTTCGCCACCACGGCAATAGATGATTAGGAAGCAGCAAAAGGAAAGGGATAGCTGATTTGTATGCATGCTTGTGTCAGAATGTTTCAGAAGAAAATCAAAAGAATTTCTTTGAAAAAATGAAATATCTTTAAGCATCCTATTGGCAACTAATGTGCATAACTGTATGCTGTAATTCAAAAAGTCAGTGACTGGACCACAATGTAGGTTTGAATTTTTATTTCCTGGCACTTGGAATAAACCACTTTCATTCAGATTGACAAAGCTGTTTATTGTCTTACTGATTTTAGGTTTTTTTTTCTCCTCAGTGAACCAATTGGAAAGAAGAGATCTGGTAAGGCCATTACTTGTACTTTTCTGCTTAATATTTATCTTTTTTCAAACTCTTTTGATCTGTTACAAAATTATTTGAATTTGCCCACATCTGATCTACGTGCTTTTTCTTAATCATCTCTAAGAAAAGCTAAAGGAATTCTTTCCAAATTGCTACCTGAATTTGCCTTTTTACCTTTTTAATTATCCCTATTTTGTTCCACTTTCAGAATGGAAGCTAATGCAAGGCAGAAATGCATATGCCAAAATTAAAAGGTGGCAAGGGGTAGGGGTGGAGGAGAGTTTCATCTTTTATCTGCCTTTTTTTTTATAACTGATGGCCTGTTTGAGATTGTTGATTTTCAAGTGCAGCTTAAGATCTTCAGAGAAAAGCTACAACTTTATCTCCTACCAAATAGCAGATAGCACAGTATTAAAGAACATGGGAATAGAATCTTTTCGATGTATTTGCAACTATGATTATCTCTGAATCAGAATTTATATAATCCAATAACATCTAACAAAACAAAGACTCTCGGCCAGGGGAAATGTTAAGAGTTACTGGCAATAGAAAAGGACATGCCTGTGCCAATTTACCGAAATTTCCCTGTGTTTTGGTGAGGCACATATAAGATCAATTGAGCAGTATATATTATATATGTGTGAGGGGATCTACTTTTGCTTGCTTCACATTGTGCTGGGCTTCTCTGTGATTTCACCACTGGGGTGAGCAAATTGTGAGAAGAGAAGTGTATGTACAATGGAAAGAAGTTTTTAAAAGTAGTTCTAGAAAAAAGTAGTTAAAGTAGTTCTAGTTGTTTAGTAAAAGTTTGAATTCTGCGTTACTTTTCCTCCTTTGGTTTCATGACAAAGACAAAGTCGAAAAAACTGGGGAGCACATGGCACAGTACTGGTATTTATGAACTTCAGACTTAGTCCCGATTGGAGCAGGAAGGTTAAGATAACCCATTGGTGAATTCTCCATCCAATCATGCTGGAGAACAGTCACTTGCATTTTTCAAGCACACCAACCTTTCTGTTTTGGTTTAGGAACTTGGTGATGCCTGGTGGCTCAGCAAACATTTGATGAATTACACATGTGATTATTCCCTTAGCATTATCTCTTCCTTCAAGTTTTCTTTCCACAACAAATGATATTGTCTGAGTTGTGTGAATGCCAGCAGAAAGAAGGCAGAATAGGTTAATTGAGACAGATTGCAGACATACCATTTACCTTTGTTTCATAAAGATTGAGTGAATCTGTCCCATTCAATACACTCTGTTTAAATATATCTATCACACGGGGGAGAGGTTAGGTAGATGCATTGCAAGCAAGGCCAGGGGCTGCTGTTCAAATGTTGATCTTTTCCTAGGAGTCTAATTATGTCATGGGGCAAGAGTCAGAAAGGTCTGCTCTCCAGACACACACACACACACAAGCCCCACAGCTAGCACAGACTTCATTTTCCTGAGCAGAAGGTGGCAACTGTTTATTGGCTTTGTCTGACTTGAAAAAAAAGCTCATCCTAAAATCCTACAAAACTGCCAGATCAACATAATTCAGAGGAGGAAGAGAATATTTAGTTTTGCATATGTCTATTAAGCAGGGATATGTGGATAGAAAATTCCCAGAACATTCCAGACTTGTTGTCTAGATTGGAAAATTTTAAAAATAATTCTAAAAAAAGCTAATGGCCGACTCCTTTTATGTTCTTCCCCTAAGAACCACTTGAATATGTTCACATAGTCATCAGAAATTGAGCTGAATCGTTTCACCTTTCACATTTTCTAAATCTGATTCACCAAACTGTTACATGAGAAGAAATAGAATCAATTATCTATCCGTTGTAGGGACCTCCAAGAGTAAAAATAACTGAATAGTTTTTTCTCTCTCTTTATCCCCCAGATCTTTTCTTTTCTTTCTTTCTTCTGCAAGTTGATATCTCTTGCTCTTAAATGGATGATGTTTGTTTTGGCTTTACAAGGATTCATAATTCTGATAATCAGTACACTGTTGGTAGACATAGACTAGAATATCTTTATTGTCATTGTGTAACTCACAACGAAATTAAGTATGATGCCTTCCTTCAACTTGAAAATCCAAACTGACATACAATTAACCTCCCTAAGACTGTCACTACTCCGAATTTATATTCTTGCACCTTCCTCATGGCCATTCTCCATCATTTTTGTTCTTTCATCAGGATTTGTCCAGAGAACGGCTTCTTTCCTTCCGACAGGTAGTAACAGCATAACAGACTACTTGAGTCTTAAGTTTCTTTCCTTTCTGCTGGGCAATGCTTGCTGCTCTTGGGTATTCTGATCAATCATGGCCTTGTAGGACCACTGCTTCCTTCTGGGTAGAGATTGGGACAATAAATTAAAATCCACACTATATGGCATTGTGGATGAGTTAACAAAACCCCACCTGCTTGATTTTCAGCTAACTAGGTAGCAACTGTTCTGCTTTGCTGGTGGCGGCTTCAATGCTCCGGTGATAATCTGGGGAGAAATTTCATAACAGGTTGAATGAAAACAACTTGGGATATCTGGTGAAAAGTAGTATGGTTAAATTGGATTTGGATAAATCACCATAGTTTGTTTCCATAAGTTCATTTTTGTACCTGCAAATGATGAAAATGTCTGATGCCTAATCACGGGATAGAATTACATGCGCTTTACCTGAATAAGCTTATCTCTGATGACTCACAATTTTACATTCTTCTTCTTATTAAAATGTGCCATTGTCTTTTGAGGTCCCTTGTTGGCTTATAATAAATAAATTAACATCAGAATTAAAACCTGAATTATTCTAAAAAGAAAAATCACTGTTTAAAAACCTGTTCTTATGGATCTGGAAAAGGCAACCAAGGGGTGATGTTCTTGACTCAACAGGAAGTGCCTTCCCAGGAACTGTGGCTACAGCAAAGGCTTGGCTCTGATTCAGCATGAACCATGCCTCAGCAGCTGCAGGCAAAACTGCTCAAAGCATCTCAGTAATTGGGGATCCAAAAGAGATTCTTGCTAGCAACCTGGAGCCAAATTGTCTTGGACTTTCACTCAGAAACATCTTGGTAGCTATTGCAAGGCTTTTAGTACAAGTGAAAGTGAGGGTCAAGATTCGTTCTCCAACCTTGTGGGTTGGTTTCCGAACATTTCGTTACCAGGCTAACATCTGCAGTGGAGTTTAGGGGATGTCAGTGTCAGTGTTCTGTTTATAAAGGCTTCAGGTGTGGGTGTATCAAGTGAGGGTCAAGTGAAGACAAGTGAAAGTCTTCTCTTTGAGTTCTCCCAGAGACTGGCAGTTCTTCATCCATTGGCAGTTCCAAAGTAGGAACTGAGGCAGCCCCATCCATATAAGCTTCATTGCAGTAGTCAAGCCTGAAGGTATTCTGATCCATGCATTACAGTTCTAAGACCATTATCCTTCAGGAAGGGGCATATAGCTGAAGCTAATAAAAGGCCATTTCCACCATGTGAAAAACTAGGGAAAATTCAGATGAGAAGTGCTCCTAAAGTGCCACTGTGATCCTTCGAGGGGGAAGGGGTATGTCTGATCTATTTGTAACAGGGAAATCTAGCACCTCCCTGGCATTATGAGACTTCATAATGAGCAGTTCCTTATTATCTGGATTCAGCTTTATTTTATTTATTCTTCTGCCCATTAACAACTGCAGGCAGGCATTCGAGGGAGCTATACCATTAGCTACAGCTATTACAGAGCAATAAATTTGGAGGTCATCAACATACTGATAGCAGGCATCTTCCAGTGGCTTCATCTGCATGAATGAAAGACAAGATCGAGAGACAGCAAGTCCCATTGAGGGGTATATATAATAGCTTCTGTTTCAAGGAGTGATTGTCTCCAGGGAATGCCGTGTGAAACCTGCGTGAGAGATGGAAATAGAGCAAAGCAGCACTTTTTATTTCTTTGATCTCTTGGGTGATCCTAAAGATTGGGTTATGATGGTCAATAACATCAAAGTTATTGAGAAGTCAAGAATAATCAATAGAGTCACATTCCCTCTTGTAATCCCTAAACAAAGATTGGCCATTGAGCGGACTGGTCAATCTCAAGTTGCAATCACTTATGAATTGATTTGAAATCGATCAAGATATGGTAATATTCTTTCAGGATTGCCAGGAAATGGAAAATTAGCACTCTGAATTATTTTAATGTTTTTAAATTAACCATTCAAATTGGACTATATTTGCCCATCTTTGAAGAGGCATTTTTTATCCAGGCTCTTTTATCAGTTATTTCATAATTGGTTCTTTGAAGGCATTTTGCATTCCCTCAGAGCACAATTTACAATGCTAATTAAAGCATTTCTATTAACTTGTTAGGTAGGAAATGCAGATTAGGTTGGACAAGGATTATCTATTTTCAGAAGATTAAATTTGATTAAATTAATCAAAAATTAATTTAAATCAATTATTACTACATGTTAAAATGTATAGCCTAATAGGCTATAACCAATTAGTTATATAAAGTAGCTGTTGCAAATACTAAAAACTTAATGAAGTGAATATCCTCTTCAAAGTATTTTAATGGAATCAAAAATTATTCCCAAATAGTATAAAATTGTCTTTGAAAGGAATGTTAGGTGTCAGTTACCGAGCTTTTTATCTGTCAGTTTCTATTTGGCTAATGGTTTAGTTGTGTCCATCAATAATTAAAAAGTATTTAAAATCTTACTTATAGAAATAGGTCATTTAAACTCTTGCCTTTAGAAATGTATCATTGAAGTCTTCTCCAACACTTAATGGTGGTATCAGTTCTTTTTCCCAATAACGTTCATAAATAAGAGGTATATAAACATATAAATTTACTTGTGTAAACCACCTAGAGTCACTGTGAATAGTTGGGCTGCCATATAAACTTTCTTAACACATAAAAATAAATAAAATAAAAAGAATGTATTTTTGTACATAGCTGCTATCCAAAATTCTTGTGTCAAACAATAACGGCAAATGTTTGGTTATGTAGAAGAATGGCCATTTCTTTAAATAATATGCCTC